GGGACTGTACTAAGGGCTTTCTGTGCATTCTCTTATTTAATACTCATAAAAATTCTACAAGATAGGAATCATCACTATCCCCACTTTCCATAAGAGGAAACTGAGGCCCAGAGAGGTTAAGTAACTTTCCCAGGTTCACACAACCAGTGAGTTGCAGTCAGGACTTGAACCCAGACTCCCTGGAATCCTAGTCTTATGCCACACTGACCCTTCAGTGGGGGTTATCTTAGGGTGTGTTCATCATTTCTGACCCAATCACTGTGGATATAGGAGATCTGATGTTACAACTGGCAGAGCCTGGGTCATGTGTTCACCCATAGAGTCAGAGGAAAAATAAGCTTCATGCAAATCATACGGATTGGAAATGCTCTGGATCAAACCATGGTGTCTGGATTCAGGGATAGAAAGAATCAGCCAGCAAAGGATATAATGAAATAAGGGCTCAGGATGTATGCCCCAGCTCTCTGCCTGCCTTGTAGCTCACAGAGGCAGGCCTAAAGCCTAGAAGCCTTGACAGCCCATGTGGAATGGGCTCCTTCCAGTCAGAGGGGCATGGAATTATGGGCCCTGTGTTCTTTGTATCCTCATTCTTATCAGCACATGGAAACAACTTAAGAAGACAATAATTCTGCTGCATCACTAGGCCTAATAACCAGGTTCTGGCCTTGACATTCTTGTTGTACTAGCACTGGGCCATTTCCCCTTATTTTTAGGGCCTATGAGTTTTCCCTTTGCGTATACTTAGTGGCATTCTATGGGCAGGACTGGTCATGGCCTATCACTATAAGGGTTGGTTTCCAAAGGAAAATCAGGATATTATTACCTTCCAGAAGAAGATGGAATAGATGAGGAACCAGCAAAAACAAGGTGACAAATACAGGTAAGTATAAAATAAAAACTACAGTTATAAATGTTGTTACCCTTTGTGCAGAACTGATTCAAAGAAGCTGAGTGACTGCCATGGTTACCCAGCTAGAGCATAGCAAAGTCCAGGCAAGAACTCCTGGCTACTTGTCCTATTTTCTTTCCACTACACAAACCTTTAAATTTGTCTAGAACTGGGGACTTTTCCAAGACACAGAACTGTCAGTGCAAAAACTGGAAAGGTCCTGGGTAAACTGGGGTGAATTGACCACCCTGCCATTAATCCCTATGTAATTGTTTCATCTTTACTGCCTTTTTGTTTAATTCATTTTGGTTTTTTTTATGGATTTCACTCTCCCATTGTCCACACATCAGTGAATATTCTTAATCAGGTTGTAACCACAGGATTTGTTGACTCCATGACTCAATTAATTAAAGAGCCTGTGGGTCCTTGAGACTTCTAATTATTTTCAGGGAATTTTTAAAAAGGGAAATATTAAAGAAAATATAATATAAATTTTTCTTTGTAATACATATAGTGTAATAGTTGGTAAACTAGGAAGCAGAGGGCCCCCTTATAAAAGTTAGTTCCTGGTTACCTTTCAGATCACATGAGGAGAAGCCAGAGTCACCTTCTTGAATTAAAGGGAGAGTTCAAGTCTTAAATCTTTAAAATCACACACACACACACACACACACGCACACACACACAAATATGCCAGGGGGTGGTGGGAAGGAACTCAGAAGCTGATCCAAGCAGAGGTGGCTGGAACACTCAGCTTGCCCAAGGACAGAAAGCCTGGGAATCTCTCCCAACAGCCTCTCCCAAGAAACACAGCCTGCCACTCAGGAGTGCAGGACGCAAACATAGCATATCACAAAGGCCAGAGCTTCCAGAGTAGGAGACCTCCTCACGCTAGCAGTGAGTACATTTTCTGCTGCAAGTGACTAAACACCTAACTCAGACTGGCTTGAATCATAAGAAAATATATTACCTCACAAAACTGGAGTGCCGAGGTAGAACAGAGTCCACATTTTCCTGATTTGGAAGTGCAACAATCAGGGCCATATTATGAATTTCGTGGTCCCTGGGCACTTTTGCCTTCATGGACCCCTTCCTCCACTAAAATAAATAAATAAATAAATAAAAATTAAAAAAAAATAAAATAAATTGTATTCCATGACTGCAATGGTATTAAGACATTTTATCAGGCTGGATGATATTTATTTCTTCCTCTGAATTTATAAGAAAATAAAACATTGTGGAGAACCCTTAAAAGTATCGTGGGTCCTAGGATCAGTCAGCCCTATGAACAATCTATCCAGGATCCAGGTTCCGTCCACGTGTTGGCCACCCACAGCATGTACCACCTTCACGATCAGGCTGGCTTACCTCCAGGTGGTAATATGGCTGCCAGTGGCAGCTGAGGCCAAGGGCTCCATTGTTCCCCTCCACTGTGAGCTTGGAAGGCCTTTCCCCTAACTATGGAAAAGAAGTACTTCCTTTTAGTTCTGATTAATTTGAAGTGGGACAATAAGCCTACTCCTGAATCAGTAACCCAAGAATGCCATTGCCAATTTCACTATTCTTCAACTAGTAAAGAGATACACTATCATTAGAAATAGGAAGGATGGGGTGCCTGAGTGGCTCATTCAGGTAAGTATCCAACTCTTGATTTTGGCTCAGGTCATGATCTCAGGGTCGTGAGATTGAGCCCCATGTCAGGCTCTGTACTGGGCATGGAGCCTGCTTGAGATTCTCTCTCTCCCTCTCCCCCTGCTCCCCACTCTCCCTCTTTTAAAAAATGATTTTAATGGGATTTTCACAAAGAATATATATTGGTGGACAATAAAGAAATAAAAAATGCTCAACATCATTAGAAATGAGATCACCAATGAGATGCCACTTATATACCCACCAAAACAACTAACACTACAAATGACTGACAATACCAGGTACTGGCAAGGATGTGGAACAAATGGGATCTCACATGTTGCTTGTAGGAATGTAAAATGGTACAGTCACTTTGGGAAACAATTTGGTGTTTGCTTTTAAAGTTAAACATATCCTTACCATATAAACCAGCAGTTCCTCTCCTATTTGCCTAAAAGAAAGGAAAACATACATCCACACAAAAATTTCTACATGAATGCCCATGACAGCTTTATTCATAAACAGTCCAAATATTTATCAACAAGTGAACAGATAAACAAGTTAGGGTATATCCATACATTGGAATACTACTCAGCAATAAAAAGGAATGAACAAGAATGCATCTCAGAAGCATGCTAAGTGAGGGAAGCCAGACACAAAAGAATACCTACTCTAGGATCCATCTATAGGAACTTCTGCTGAGAAAAAAACTGCAGGAGGCTATCGTAATAATCCAGGTGGAAGATGCTGATTGCTCAGACCAGGGGTTAACAAAAGAAGTGATGAACAGTGGTCTGATTCTGGATATATTTTGAAGATGGAGCCAAGAGAATTTTCTGAAGAATTGAATATAAGGTGTGTGAGAAAAAGAGAAATCAAGGTTGACTCATGATTTTGGAGCTGAACAAACTGGAAAGATGAAATTGCTATTAATCAAGATGGTGAAGCAGGTGGATAGAGTAGGCTGGGAGAAAGGGTGAGACTCAGCAGACCTGGTAAGTTTGAAATGCCCATTAGGTGTACAGATGAAGATAACAATGTCAGCAGTTGGATATTCAGGCAGGAAGAGTTCCCAGCTGGAGATAGAAATTTGGGAGTTTCAACCCACTTTTTCTGGGCAGAGGGCTGGAGATAGAATTAAAAAAAGAAGAAGAAGAAAATGTCTGGACAGATCTTTTTACCATACAAAAGGTAAGTTTCCTTTTTTTTTTTTTTTTTAAGTTTGGGGGTCATTAAGACTGGGAAAACAAACTTATTTGAATTTTAGTAGTAAAAATCTTCAATACTACTAGCAAAATCCCACATACTTATGTAAGCTTCAGGGCCAGGAAGCTCTTTTGATCTTGCCCAATATTGTGTGGCTTGCAACCAATCTGGCAAGGTCTAGACAACCCACTGCATACCCCAGAGATAAGGAGAGAGGCCTCCACCCAACAGCCTCTCTCTCTTGCACTGTCTACCACCTTCTCCGCCATTGGCCAGCAGAAGAGGGGAAGGAGCTGATCCTCTCTCTCCCAGCCTCTGTCTCCTGCTTGGGGTCAAAGTCCTTTAGTACCTTCAGTTGGCACATTGTCTCATTCATGAAGTTGTATTTGGCTGTTTGCTTCTTAAAAGACATGACTGCCTTAGAAGCAAACTATTAATCTGACTGTAGAGTTGGAGCCTTCGGAGATAACAGCAATCTGTGTGGTATGATTTGAAGAAGCCAGAAAAAAAATTTTTTTGCTCTCCAGATTCCCGAAATTCCACCATTAGTATGAAAGGTGAAAATGAAATGCCCAACTCTGAATGACCAGTAGTGGGGACTCCTGCAAGTGAACCAGTGGAGAGAAGAGAAGCAGTAGGTAAAAAAAAGGGCCCATAAATAGGGGAGGTTTTGAGACCAAAAACAAACGTGACCTCACAATTTTGTTAACATGAGCTATACCTGGCCCATTGCCAACCCTGGCACATAGTAGGTCAAAAATATTTGTTGAATGAATTCTCTTTTTTCTACATTTGAGGAAGCAGACCCTCCCCCACACAAAAATAAATAAATAAATAAATAAATAAATCATCTTAAAGAAAGGGCAAAAAGAACCAGTCCAATGAATGGGGTTAATTAACTGTCCTAGGATTCACTTATTGGAAAAAAATGTTTAAGCAATTTCTCAGGACCCTGAGCAGCTCTCTGGGAGAGATGTTTTCCTTCTACGGGGCACGAGATACCGTCCTGAAGCCTGGAGCATCACCAAGGCTGATTCAAACCCAAGACCTCACATGCCAAGCATGCCATCTTCGGCCTGGGGTTCCGGCGTGTCTGGGAACTGGGGTGAAGGGCTGGCAGAGGAGGGCAGGCGCCGCGGCAGCGAGGGCCCTCGGAGGAGGGGGCGCAGACTCCGCTGCGCAGAACGCTCTCCCGCCCGGCCTGCAGCTCCTGGCTCAGCCTTTGCGCCTCCCTCAGCTTTCTCCTCCGCCCCCCCTTCGCCCTCCCCCTTTCCCTCCCTTTCTCCTCCTCCTCCTCCTGCCGCCGCGGCCGCTGCCAGACCTCGCCAGTTCAGACCCACCGGGCTGCTCTCCCCTGCACTCTCCCCTTGCTGTCCAGGCCCGGAGAGCAGCGCAGTCGCGCAGGTAGGAGCCCCTGGCGCGCCCAGTGCCCGCCGGGCCGCGCGCAGGGAAGTAAGTGGGGTAACCTCAGGGGTGCAGGGTACCCGAGAACTGCCCCAGACTGTGCAGGATCTCTCAGGCAGAGAGGGAGGTGGAGGTGTGCGGTCTCGGAATGCGATCTGTCAGCATGTGCGCGTACCAGGGTGACATCTGTTTGGATGGGCAAGTGTGTGCGCGCCGACAATCAGCCGACTGGGCTTTGCCCTTAAACGAAGTTTTGAAAGTTTCAGGGGGCTAATGTACGAGACTTAAGCCGCAACTGGATTCCACAGGAGCTGGCTAAAAGCGGGAGCGCAGAGCAGCTCCCGAGGCTGCAGCCTGTTAACTTAAAAAAGGGAACCTCACCTCCCCGGGGGAGCCAGGCCGGCCGCCTGGAAACTAGTACCTCGGGCTGCGGTGTGGTCCCCGGGTTCTGGCTCTAGGCAGCCCGATCCTCAAGGTAGCGTGTCGGGTACTAAGGGACTGATAAGGTACAGAAAATCAGACGCTTTGGGTTGCTCCTTCACACAACCTGGGGCTTTCACACAAAACGGCGCGCAGAGAACGGCATGGAAATGCCACTTTGAGGGTTTGTTCTGGGGGATATGAGATGGAACTCTGAAGGGCAGGTATTCTACTAGGGGAGGAGATTGCTCTTTGAGTTTTGTTTTGGTGTTTAGTTAAAAAAAAAAAAAGTTTGAGGCCAAGGTAATTCATATTAATTCACAGGTATTTCTGCTGAGCTTTGCGAGGAACTTCACTAGCCGGAGGTGAGCATATAGGCAAAGCCTTAATGTTCAAGGAATATGAGATTTGCTAAACCCCACCTCCCCTCTGTGTGTGTGTGTGTGTGTGTCTGTATGTCTGTTTCTCTCTCTCATACACACACACGCACATACACACAAATGCACCATCTCCTTTGAAATTAATCACCCTCTATTCTTTCCCTTCCACCCCTTTCTGGAGCCTGTTGTGTAGATGCAGTATAAAATGCTGGCTGAATATCCTTTGTATATGTTCAGCGCAGCTGGATGGAGTAAAGTGAAATGTAATTCTGCAGCCCTTTTACAGTTTTTGGTGCCTCGTTTGGCCCAGGGTAGGTTGAGGAGGGGGAGGGGGAATGAGCAAGTAGATTGGAAATTGGGTATGATGGAACCTCAGCCTCTCCCTCCTGCCCTTCCCTGCTTATTACGGCACAGCTAAAGTTTTGTTATTGCCCTGCCCCCCGCAGCAATTACTAAGCATCCGTTTGTCCTGTGTTTTCTTTGAGATTCACGATGTTGAAAGCCCTTTTCCTAACTATGCTGACTCTGGCGCTGGTCGAGTCACAGGACACCGAAGAAACCATCACGTACACGGTAAGGGGTGATGGAATTTGAGATAAGTGCGTTCAGCGGGATTCTGTGACACAAGGGAGACTTTATCCACTCCTGCCAGTGTATGTGGGCTGTAGGCTGTGGAGGGTAATAAATTAAACAACGCTTTAGTACGGTTCACATTTAAGATTTGTTTAAATTGCCCGTGGTCTCTCCAAAAGTTCATTTAGATCACCAGTTGAGATAGGGACCAAAATGTAATGATTTTTGCAAGACCGAAAAAGGAGACCCCTTTAAAACAAAAACCAAAGTAAGCTCCATGTTTCCAACACATCCAATACATTAATAAGGGTAAGGAATTGGAAAGCCTGGATTCCTATATATGTGCAGCTAAAACCAAAATTTGCAGAGTAAGACAAGTCAAATAAGATCAAACATCACAAAAGTACATACATCATTTGTATATGTGACTTATGTTCTCATGAAGTGGCCTTTATTGAATTTATAAAGGCTATATATTCATTTATAGTATAACTGATAATTCATATAAATGCCCTTCAGGTAGAATATTTGTGCTACCAGGATGCAGTATTGGCTAAAGTGGTCCTAAAATGCATTGTGTGAAATTTGATTTTGCATTTTCTAATTAATTGCATCTGATTATTTCCAAGTAATATCTGATTAATTAGTTGATTGCATGGATATAACCAATGTATAATAAAATATTGAAAACATCATCTGACCCATCCCACTATCAGGAATGGATATGGTGAGAACAGAGGGCAGTACTTACTTCACTTCCAGTGAGTTTGTTTGCACCTCGTTTTCTGTTTTCTTTTTTTATTTGTTTGATTTTGTTTTGTGTTTTCTAGTCTTTAACCGGTGTCATGAGGCAAGTGACATTTGTCCTGGATCACAATATGAAAAACATATTTTTCTACTTGCTCCCAATTTAAAATGAAGTAATCCTACTCAAAAGAATGTGAAAAATTTTTGAAAATAAAACTCCTAAAAGTGAGCTAATGTCAATTACTGATAATAAACATTATCTCACTTTTTGGTATCCTATTATCCCCAGAATGTTAGTATTCATCTGGAAAATGTTCCTTGTTGTTGTTCAGATCAACTATAAATCAAATAGGGTTTCACATAAATATTTTGTTAAATTAATGATAAATGTAGTTGCTTCCTCTGCTGAAGATAAATAAAGCATGAGAAATGAATACATGTGTTGTTTATCTTCAAATGAGAATGTTTTGTTGTTCAGGCTAAACTTACTACCTTCTTAGGGAGCTAAAGTTAAATTAACTACCCATTTTTATAGTCATCCAATAAAATATTTTATTGCTTTTACAATTGCTTGTTTATACCCCCTTCTCCTTGGTTCATCAACTAAATCACATTCATCTTTAGCAGAGAAAGATCCCTGTGGATTAAACACTAGAGTTTTAAACCACTAACTAGGGATCATTATTATTATAGCAGATTTTCCAGATATGACATCCTTTTTGTTCTAAAATTAGGCCTATTCTCTCTTGAACTGTGTATGCCTAATAATTCATGGTTAAAGAATAAGATGTAACTACTTTGTGAGTACCCCATTGTGGGGACACTATCTCCTTTCATTTTCACAGCAAAGGTTTAGGTAAGTGGTATCATCTTCCTTTCACCAATAGTAGAACTGAAGATCAGAGAGAGTATCTAACTTGCTGAAGGCCACACAGCCAGCAAGTGGTGAAGCTAAACTCAGTCTAGGCTTGTTTAATAGTAGATCCATGTTAAATGTACTGGAACTAAATACCCAAACCAATCTGCATGTCTTCTCTAGTTAGCATACAGATTATTCAGTGAACTGTCATTGCGCCTGGCTTGAAAGATGCTTTTTGGAAGGTTGAGCTCATATTCACAAGACAGCCTCATATACCCCTTCCATTTTATTTTTTTTAAAGATTTTATTTATTTATTTGACAGAGAGAGACACAGCAAGAGAAGGAACACAAGCAAGGGGAGTGAGAGAGGGAGAAGCATGTTTCCCGCTAAGCAGGGATCCCAGGATGTGGGGCTCGTTCCCAGGACCCTGGGATCATGACCTAAGCTGAAGGCAGACGCTTAACGACTGAGCCACCCAGGCGCCCCTACTCCTTCCATTTTAAAGTTAGGGTCCATTCAGCCATTTATTTGCCAAGTAGCTACCATGTGCATAAGCTGTTCTTACCACCAGCAAAAGAATTCAAGGTTATTTGTTTACTAAGAAAATTCAGACCTTCACCTCAGGGAATTTACCCAGGGAAAATACTGTTGAGAACTACAAAGTTTATAAGCAAGTACAAATATTATAATTATGCTGATTATACAAGTTGCTAAAGATACAGAAAAGCAAGGAAGGAATGTCAGTACTGGCATATTGGAAGAGGTCGAGTTCTGTGCTGAATCTTGAAAGAAGTAATGATGTCAGATTAATCTAGAAAGGCTGAAGAGGCACCTGAGTCAGAGAAAGTGACATGATCAAAGTCTAGAGATAAAAACAACCAAGACAAGTTGAGGAGATGACAAGCTTAGATGGGCTGGTGTTGGGTAGTGGGGGGAACCTGGAGATGGCAGAATTGGGAGTTGAGAGGTCTGCAAGTCAGTGTGAGCTCTTAAATGTAGGAGTAACATAATCAAGAGAGCAAGAAGGATTGTCATGGAGGCTGTGTGCAGCACACAGTGATATGGAGGACAGCCAAACAGCCTTGCCTATTCATGAAGTCAGGAAAGCTTATACCAATGTGGTAGATACAGAAATGGACACGAAGTCAGGAGAGCTTGAAAGAAAATAAGTGGAAAAGTCAGTGTGGATGTTACAGTTATAATCCGAGGTCCTAAGAAAGGTGGTGGTGCCTTGGACAGGTTGGAGAAACTAGAAAGAATTAGCTTAGGAGATAAAGTGAGTTTAGTTTTCGCCCTGTGAAGTTTCAGATATCGCTAAAATATTTAAACTGAGCTCTCTGTCTCCATTCAGCTATTTACTTGCCAAGCATCTGTTGTGTGCATAAGCAACTCTCAGCTCTATTAAAAAAATTCAAGTGTATTTGTTTGTTCACTCTACTTTTGCTCAATCTTTCCTGCAGCATCTTCCTCAAATCTGCATCTGGTCACATATTTTCCTGAGCTTAAAAATGCTTCAGGGAAAAAAATAAATAAATAAAATTCTTCAGGGGCCTCTTATCACATATAGTGGCATTTGTCAAGAAGTAGCTTATAGGCAACCTGTGTCAGAATCACCTGGGATGCTTGTTAGGAATTCAGATTCCAAGCCTCCTACCCAGACCTCCAGAATCCGATCCTTTGGGTCAGCATTTTAACAAGCACCCTGGGTGACTCTTAGGCTTGATCATAAAGCTTGAGATTCACTGACATTCAAGGTAGGAATTGGTTCCTGCCTGTCCCTCTAACTGCATCCCCCCCACTCAGACTACTTGCAGCTCTTTCTCTCTTTAACAGTGTTGCACCTTTGCTCACGTGGTCCCTCATCCTAGGATTCCCACATTCCCCTGGAAAGAGCCTCTAAGGCCCAATTCACTTGTAGCCTCCCCCATAAAGCCTTCTCTTCCACCCTGTCATGCCCACACACAGCCCTGGGCAGAGTCCATCACTCTTTGCACATACATGCTTGTGTCACAGCACCTGACATCTTGCTCCAACTTGTCTACCTGTCTGTCTCCTCTTGTGATCTGTGAGCCACTTGAGGACAAGGACAAGGTCTTCATGACCTTTTGCATGCCCAGGGACTAGAATGGTGCCCAGTAGGAGAAGGTACTCAGCAGATGGTTTATTTAGTGAGTGAACTAGAGAGGACTGGTAGGAGTTAAAGCTAGGAGGCAGGCCAGGGTGTGAGTGGGAGGCTTGGGACTCAGCTGAACAGGAATAAGGAAAGGCAGGTGCTGGAATGCTCCAAGAGAATTGAGAGAGGAGGGGAAGAGTCAAGGGCTGAAAAAAGGAACTTGTTTTTGTTGTTGTTGTTGGTGGTGGTGGTAAAATTTATAATGTGGAAGAAGGGCAAATAAAGCAAAAGCGGTCATTCAGAGAGATTAGAGAAGATCAGTATTGAGACCAAGAAAAGAATTCCGAGATGGTGATGTGCACCTGTACCAAATACAACACAAGAGTTGAGGCAGCTGGTGATTGAGAAGGGAGCCCTGAAGTGGTCCAATGCACAGATTTGTAGGAAGGAAGGAGGGAAGGAAGGAAGGGAGGGAAGGAGGGAGGGAGGAAGGAAGGAAGGAAGGAAGGAAGGAAGGAAGGAAGGAAGGAAGGAAGGAGAAAATCTAGGGAATGTTAAACTACCCATCTCATCATCTATCTAGGACTCTAGAGCAAGGATTGTTGCCATAGGAATGAAGCTTTTAGAGTGACTTCTTAGGAAGTGGATACACCAATTAACTGTCTCCTGGTCACATCTTTGATGTTTTCTTCACAGCAATGCACAGATGGATATGAGTGGGATCCTGTAAGACAGCAGTGCAAAGGTGAGCCAACTTCAAAGACTTCCCTTCTGAACATAGCTTTCTGTCTCCATCTCATGTCACTCTTGCTGTCCTGTTTGTATCTATCAAAAAGGCATGAGCATATATTTACATGTTCAGAGTTCCCTCTAAGATCCCTGATTTATTTTATTGTCGACCGCAGATATTGATGAATGTGACATTGTTCCAGACGCTTGCAAAGGTGGAATGAAATGTGTCAACCACTATGGAGGATACCTCTGCCTTCCTAAAACAGCCCAGATTATTGTCAATAATGAACAACCTCAGCAAGAAACACCCGCCGCGGAAGGCGTGGGTGCAGCGGCCAATGCAGCTGCCACGTCGGGGACAGGCGCCGGGGGCGTGGCGGCCACCGGCATGGCAGCCAGTGGAGTGATGCCCGGGGGCGGCTTCGTTGCCAGTGCAGCTGCGGTGGCAGGCCCGGAAGTGCAGACTGGCCGAAATAACTTTGTCATCCGTAGGAACCCAGCGGACGCTCAGCGCATCCCTGCCAACCCTTCTCACCGGATCCAGTGTGCAACAGGCTACGAACAGAGTGAGCATAACGTGTGCCAAGGTAAGCATGACTTACTATGCTAATGAGAATGTTCTTGTCCAAGTGCACCTCGTGGTGATGATGGTAACAGCTCACGTTTACCGAGAGCTTCCCACACGCCACACACTGTGCTGAGGGCTTTGACTGAATTATCATTTAATCATGGCAAAAACCCTAAAAGGGGGTTGCTGCCTGTATGGTCCTCATTTTGCAAATGAGGAAGCCGCGGCACAGTGGTTCTCAATCGTAGTGGCACCTATCTACAGTCACTTGGGAGCTTTTAAAACTTCTCCATATCGGGGCACCTGGGTGGCTCAGTCGTTGAGCGTCTGCCTTCGGCTCGGGTCATGATCCCAGTGTCCTGGGATCAAGCCCCGCGTCGGGCTCCCTGCTCCGCGGGGAGCCTGCTTCTCCCTCTCCC